AGACAATCCGATGCACATCCATCGTCTATTATCATGAATATAGATTTAGTACCGAATAAATACCCAAACTTAATTTCTCCTCATCGCGACACGAATGCAACAAAACCAAAGATATTCCACAGAATAGAAACTGGTAGCAACCCTCCTACTTTCTCCAGAGCCAGACAATTATCAGCTCAGAGATGTGAAATTGCAAAAGAGGAATTCAAGAAACTCCTAAAGGCAGGAATAATTTCCCCTTCAAACTCTGAATGGAGTTCAGCCTTACACATGGTACCGAAGTCAGACGGCACATATAGACCTGTTGGCGATTACAGACATTTAAATACCATAACAAAAGCCGATCGATATCAAGTCCCAAATATAAATTCCTTGTCTTCGAAGCTTCATAATAAGAAGTTCTTTTCAAAGATAGACCTGTCGTCTGCTTATCATCAGATACCAGTACACCCGGAGGATGTTTGCAAGACAGCCATCTTTACCCCTTTTGGGTTATTTGAATATAACTATATGCCTTTCGGACTACGGAACGCATCATGTACTTTTCAGAGAATGATGGACAATATCTTTCGTGATACTGATTATACCTTTGTATATATCGACGATATCCTTATATTCTCAGAAGATGAAGAAACTCATTCCAAGCATATCGACCTAGTACTACAAAAAACTGAGTGAGTACGATTTTAAAATTTGTCTCTCCAAATGCATATTTAGTGCTAATGAATTAGACTTTTTAGGATTTCACATTTCTGCTAGTGGTCTCAAACCCAGTGCTAAAAAGTTGAATGAATTAAGTGAATTTCCTCAACCAAACGATTCTAAATCACTACGCCGATTCCTCGGAATGGCAAATTTTACAGAAAACTTGTGCCAAATTTCAGCGATATCATACTACCTCTCACGGAAAAAATACGTTTAAACCAAAATTCCAAGTCATTAACCCTAACAAAGGAAGAAATTGAATCTTTCGAAAATATGAAAAAGTCTTTATCAAATGTAACTGTTTTGGCTTTCCCCAGCTCGAAAGCTAACAACTATCAACTTGTAACAGACAGTTCGAATTATGCGGTGGGTGCAGCACTTCATCAAATGATTGATAATCAACCCATCCCCATAGGTTTCTTTTCAAAAAATTATCCCAAACCCAACAAAATATTCTACTTTTGACAGAGAACTACTAGCTGCCTATCTAGCAGTACTCCATTTTAAACATTTAATAGAAGGCAGAAATGTAATGTTACTGACGGATCACAAACCACTTTGCAGTGCTTTTAAAAGCCAGTCTTCCTTAAAATCAGATAGACAACAGCGTCACCTCTGTTTTATCAGCGAATATGTGAATGACATTTCACATATAAGAGGTTCACAAAATATAGTAGCTGATTGTTTATCACGACCTGTCAACGCGATCACTATTGATGTATGTGATTTACAAGAAATAATGAAGCATCAAGCTACTGACAATGAAATTCAGGCATTCAAAGATCAACTGAAACCATACACAATAAATCAAAATGAAACCATATTATGTGACACGACATTACCTTTTCCACGACCTTTTGTGACTGAGAAGCTCAGAAAATCGGTATTTGACAGTCTGCATAATCTATCACATCCAGGAATAACATCTTCAAGAAAAATAATAAAATCCAGATACTATTGGCCGAAGATGGACAAGTCAATAAAAACCTGGTGCACAGAATGCCAGCATTGCCAACAAGCAAAAATAATAAAACACACAAAGAGCAAAATGAAATCCATTTGAATTACCTTCCAGTCGTTTTGAAACGGTGCATGTGGATATTGTCGGTCCCTTACCACCAGTAAAGAACCAAACTGACTCTTATTTTTCACCATATCGATATTTATTAACATGCGTTGATAGAAATACGAGATGGATAGAAGCATGCCCAATAACAGAAATTACGGCAAAATCAATATCAACGGCTTTTGTCAATCTGTGGATCTCCCGATTCGGGGTTCCTCTTCATGTCGTTACGGACAGAGGAAGCCAATTTGAATCCGAATTATTCTCAGAACTATCAAAATAATAGGCTTCCACAGATTACGAACAACGGCGTACCATCCGCAAACGAATGGATTAGTTGAGCGAGCACACAGAACTTTAAAAACGGCTATTATAGCCAGGAAAGAATCGTGGTTATCAGCTCTTCCTATCGTCCTTTTGGGAATGAGGATAACACCTAACGAATCAAACTATTCTTCATTTACTGCAGTAACAGGGAGTCATGCACAAGTCCCCCGATTATTAATTGACTCTATCAAGAACGAGAATAGTGAAATGACAAACTCGCACGTTAAAATTCTAGCCGACGAGATGCAAAAATTTGACATGGACAAATTATCCAGGGGACACCTGCATACAATACCTAATTCTTACATTCCAAAAGATTTACAAACATGTAAAAGTATCTGGCTAAGAACAGACAGAGTAAGAAAGCCATTGGAAGCTCCATACACAGGTTCATTCCAAGTATTAAGTCGTCATGAAAAATATTTTACTATTAAAAGATCGGATGACGTACATAGTAATGTTTCAATAGATAGACTAAAACCTGCATATATTTCTGAAAATATAAAATCAAAAGATTCCATTGGATCAAGACCGGATTTGGATAACTCCTATCTTGTTCCGAAGAAACTAATGATAACAAACCAGAAACTAGAACGAAGTCCGGTAGAACGGTTAAATGGAAGAAAAAAAATTTACATATTTTTTTATTACTGATATAACAAAAAAAAAAAAAAAACAACAACTCCGTTTACTGGGGCGAAAGTTATGTGGTGGTACTGAGCAACCGAAGGACCGGATGTTAACCCTCAGAGGTCTAGATAGCAAATGACCAATACTGGTCTTTGCGCACCAGGCTCGACGCATAAGTTCCGGTGGAAAATCAAAAGAAATAAAAAGAATATAATAAGCAATTTCCACCAATTAAACGGCCCCGCGCCATATCCAACAGTTTGTTTCAGCATACTGACTCAGATCCGATGGACACACATAAATAGAACGATGAATTCACTTCTGGTCAGAAAGCCTTGAAGTTACCGTCATAGAATGTCGCTACGCTTTTCTCACCCATCAGCCCGACGCCTCCAGTTTTCCTTCACCAACGGAGATATCAAATGACACCTACCAACCCATTGACCTCACCTTTCATCTCCGGGGACCTGCACGCCCTAAACTTAAGTATTCACAAAATGACACTTTAATTCCTTTCGTAATCTGATTTCTTTTCTTTGAATGAACATTTTAATAACGGACTTTGTGCGTGTTAATCAAGAAACATTATACTTATCATTGATGTGTATTTAAATATAAAGTGTTTCTGATATACCCTTCTCTTTCATATTTTGTTTGTTTATGTTATGGTGACCTCAATTTGATTGCTTGTTGAACCTTTAGGCCAAACTAGCAGCTGTCCATAAGTGACTGCTACTGCTTACCTACCTTCTTATACAAGCAACAATTACCAACGAATATACACTTCCCACAACACCACAACTCCAAATCCACATAATGGATAGGACCGACTGGATTCTTTTGCCTTGGTAGGGCAACCAGTCAGGAGAAGAAAAATTCTGAATTCAAAACTACCTGAAGAGTGATGGACTCTGCCGCGCTATGCTCCCCTAAACACATCTACCATTGCCACAGTTGTAGTACATGTGGTACCCTAACGAATTTAATGGGTTATCCGTAACCCACCTTCATCATGATCGTGTAATATAGAGTGTAAAAAGTGTATAAACGTTTTTTTTTACGTTTATATATTATTTTATTATTATTTTAAACCTAAGTAGGAAAATCCAGAGTGCTCAATGTAAATCCAGAGCAAATAATTTAAATAAAAACAAATCACTTTAAGGTTCCATGTAATATATATATATATATATATATATATATATATATATATATATATATATATATATATATATATAAATAAAAATATAATAAAAAGGCTTAAACACTAATATTCCATGGTCATAATTTATTCCATTAAAACAGAATTTAGAGAGAGTAAGTCCCACACCCTCATAATTACACTCTCTCTAAATTCTGTTTTTATTTCAGAGTTGTTTTTCTGTTTTCTTTTTGAATTTGTAGGTCTGATGAATTGGATCGTATTTACGATTCCAATGGAATAAATTATGACCATGGAATATTAGTGTTTAAGCCTTTTTATTATATCCTTACATTGAGTTCTACCTGGATTCTATCCTCTTGGAATTTTTATTAAAAAAATATACATGTATGTGCATGCACCTATGTATATATATTTATATATTTTGCATATGTATGTGTATTTACCACTAATATTATCTATCTATCTATCTATCTATCTATATAAGATCATAACATCATAAGATCATATATATTATAAGAAGATCATATATATTTTTATATATATATATAAAAGAGATCATATATTTTTATATATATATATATATATATATATAGATCATATATATATATAAGATTATAAGATTATATATATATATATATATATATATATATATATATATATATATATATATATATATAAGATCAGTTTAAAAAGTAAACTTTTTTTCATTTAAAAAAAAGAAAAAACTCTATAAAAAAAAGTGCGTTTAACAAACGGCAATACCGTAGAAAAATTGCTCCAGCCCCCTCGGCACTTCCCCTTTTGCAGACGCTGAGTAATTACCCCAACCCCCTCCGAAGGAGAGTTACTACATGGCAGGCGATTTCTCCTTGGGGCTTGAGCTTATAATATTATTTTGAAACTACCCCAAGATGTCCATAATCGACTGTATTTCATTATCCCATTTATTAATTATGTTGATACTGTCAAGGGAGATAATAACGATAACCGGACAGACAATTGCATTCTGGGAAAGCAACATTTTTCAACATGGCTGCAATGATGACCAGCGGTTTTGGCGAAAACTTCCATAATTCTGAAATATTTGACTTACCTTCCACTAATTGGATGAACAAAGAAGTCAGCACTGGGGTAAGAATTCGCTTTAATAGATCTTGGATATTTTTTGAATACATCTGATCTTACGTTTAATACGTTTTCTTATTTAGTTATATTTTTTCTTTCTCTGTTCTTTTCATAAAGAAATTGAATAAATCTTCTTGTTGGTATTTAAATTAATAAATATATTTTTTTATAATTTAGCAATGACCCTTACTTAAAATACAAGTACACAAAACTCTAGTCTTGTAATACAAAAATGCTTTTCAGTCCAAGCAAATATTTAAGTTGAATGGTTTCATTTTTGAATTCTGACATTGGTTAATTTGTCTTGATTTCTTTCTTCTGAAATTAGTTTTTATTTTTAATGCTTATATTTTGTCTGTTCAAAAAAAAAAAAAAAAAGAAAAAAGTAGTTTGTCTTCAGGTTAATTATTTTTCTCCAATTTGAAAATTTTTTAGTTATTGAGCTTTTATTTTCGATGAAAAGGGAAAAAAATGTCTCATTTCTGAAAGAAATCGACTCAAACAAAAATAAAATTGATTTTGAAGTCACATACTTTGTCTTAAAATTGTAAGTCTTTTTACTTTGACTTAATAAATTTGGATTCACATGTTCATATTTTGTCAAGTATTCTGTTGTGATCTGTTAAAAAATACTAAATTAAATAGTAGATTTGTTTGTTTTTTTTTTTTTTTTACAGACGATTGTATTGTTTCTGTTGGTTGAGGCGATATTTTGTTCTGATTTTTATTAAACATCTTTCCGATGATTCGTTATAAACTAAAGAATAGTTTGGAAGATCGAATATTTTAATTAATATATGAGAAAGGCGATGATTTCATTTGTGTTCTTTCAATTCTGTTGTAGCCATGTCAGAAAACTTAGTGTCAACGATAATTGTTTTTTCGCTGACGAATTTGATCCAAACCCTGTACAACTAAATGTCCTACAATGTTTTTAGCTGTGTGAATCACTCTGCTGAAAGATCGCTGTTTGTAAAACCCCTTTTGTAAAGCAATGGTTCAACATATTCAGGTTGATTTCATCAAAAATGTGTCCATGATTGATGTAGATACTTTTATAAGAAATTTAGTACAGCCTGAGAAAGAAAGACAGTTCAATTCTGGGTTGAAAGTTTTTATTTTATTTTTTTTTATTTGTGCATGTTATTGTTACGTTTCTTGCTTTGTATTCTTTTTTCCTTTAAAAGCATATATCCAATTAAATGAAATAATAAAAAAACCCCAAAAACGAAGAATCGAAGAATAAATTTGTAACTGATATCTTGGTCAATTTTTTCCTAAAGTATAACAATTTGAATTAACCCTGTGGAAGAAAAAAATAAATAAAAAAAAGAAAACACTTTTTCAAGAGGATGAGAAAATAAGGACTCTATTACTTTTGGACACCGCTTCAAACAAAACTATTTCGTTGCAAACTAAAATTGAGTCCAGAAAAAGAAAAGTATTTTCAATTTAATACAAATTCAAAAACATTTATTATTATCAAGAAAAAAAATAAATCCATAGCGATTAAATTCTTTTTTTAAATCCCCCCCAAAAAAGAAAAACACTGTGCAAGAGCCAGTCAAGGTAGATGGTTACTGAATAAGGTTGTTGTAAGCGTACAAAGAGGGAGTAAGAGGTGCAAATTATGATGATATGTAGGAAAAATAACGGTTGACACTAAATTTAAAGAGGTTAATAAAATTGTAATGTTTGAAGGGATTGATTTGTTTATTTATTTTTTATCAACCTTCTACAGGTAGAACATATTTTTGGATTGTAAGAACGTTTTCAAGATAACAATGATTTACTGATACAAGTCTTAACTATAATTTAACCCATAGCTTGGGAGGGGGGAAGAGGTGGATCCATACCTTTTCAAACAAACCTGACTGGAATTGTAATGCATCTTTCCGATTCCAAGCTGTTATCCATTACATCACCTGCACATCCTGGTTTTCCCAAGTATTCACCCACTTAGATAGTGACTGGGTTTGCGATTACTTAAATTTGGTGAACTGGTATTTTAACATATGGTTGTAAGCCTGTAATGATCTGTGAAGCATCCTCTTGTGAGTCTGTTCCACAAAGTAGTGGTTCTGTCTAAATTGAACTTCCTCCTTACTAATGGAATATGAAGGGAATGAGAATGTAAATAGTATGGTGAGTTTTAGCTATGAGGGTCTGAATTGGTGGAACTAATGATGCCAAAAATGATAAAAATTAGTATCTTTAACTCCACATAAATCTGCAAAATAATCATACATCATATGAGGTCAGTTAAAAAATTATTATTATCTGTTGGTTTGATTTTCGATTTGCATCTTTGCCACATAGCTTCCACATAATATGTTGTGATAGTGTTTGGGGGCTGCAAAATGTCATAAAAAACCTTGTAACTCATTTTCCATCAATGTCATTAAAAATAAAAAAAAAATCCAAAAGGAAATTAGTACAAAAGTAATTTTTTCTTTTAATGATTCAAATGTCAGTTTAATTTTTTTTTTTTTTTTTTTGTAAAAATATGTGATTAAATATTGGTATTTAGTATTTCAAATGATTTTGGATTCTCTTTAAATTCTTTATTTTTTTAACTGACCTCAGATTTGGTGAGTAGTGTTAAAACTAAGAATAATTGTTTTTCTTTTTACAGAACAGTCAACAGAGTGGGATTTCAGTGTAAACTGCCTCTAGAGATTATATGCAAGTTATGAATTGGTATAAAGAGTTGCGTTTTTAATGTTAAAAGTCCTATTATGATGTTGTTTAGATTCTACTTAGATATATAGTGATAGAGAAAACTATTTTTTTGGTTGGAAAAAAATTTTACTAACAAAACAGACTAATTTTACTGTCAGTAGTTTATTTGCAACTATTTATTTTGATACTTTTACATTATTATACCTTGTAAAACTAATGTAAAAAAATATGAAAAGATTTTAGAACAAATTTGTCAATTTCTTAAAGGAAAAACATTTTATTTTAAAAATAAAAGATATATTAACAAAAAATAATAAGAACCTCCTAAAATTTATTGCACAAATGCTCCTTTCTTTTCAATAACTTTTAGCAGCCTATTGTCAACATCTGATGTTAGATTTGCAATTTTAGCAGCTGGTAAGTTGTTTGCAGCAACTTTAACTGCCTCCCAGAGGTCACACTTGCTGTTGAATTGTCTTGCATAAAGATCATAGATCTATGCTTGGCTAAAGACTGGTTATCAAGCCTTTCAAAGAAATATTGCTCTAGAAAATCACAGTAACTTTTGGAATTCATTTTAACCCCATCTTTCAGTTTAAATGGACCCATGAGCTCATTACCAATAATCCCAGCCCATATCCTGATCCCATTGCCGCCTTGTTGAGTCATGTTGCTTGCAAACCCATCCTTGAGCCCATCCATTGGTCCCATCGAAGGTGATCCTTGATTCGTCTGTAAAAAGCACTTTACTGAAATCAGTTTTCATGTATTTTTTTGCCCACTGCAATCTTCTTTCCTTATGTTTTTTTGTTAAAATGGGTTTTTTATTTGATTTTTTTACATCAGCAAACTTCCTTAATGCTTTACACCTTGTTTCCCTTGACACCATAGGAGCTCCAGCGGCCTCAAATATGAACGCACTTGACGCATTTGGGTTTCTTATTAATTCTCTTCAGATATGATAGATTTCGCTTTGTTAAATTCCTGAGACTTTTTTTTTTCCTTGGTTGAATTCCCATTTGACATATTTTCTTGATTGTTCGATGATCCCTTTTCAAATCCTTAGAAATTTGAAGTGAAGACTTTCCTTTGCTAATTTCTTTGATTATATAGTTCTTTTCATTCATTGTTAGTTCTTTTTTACGAGCCATAATACTAAATTCTAGTTCTTGCAAATAATCTCTTGACACTGCAAATTGCTATAATTACTGAAAAAATGCTAAATATCAATCTGAAATCGAAAATTGGGACTTAATTGCTTTCATGCTTACTCACTATACATAATAGTATAAATTATTTCATTGGATAACACATATCTATGAATTATTTGACAATACTTCTTTTGCATATAATCTCTAGATCCAGTTTAGTTGTCCAGCTTCTTTTCAAGCAAAGAAATGAACAAAATTACTGAATGCAAAGATCTAAGATTTATCAGTTCCTTCCAGTTTCATGCTGAGAAGCTAATATTCCTTCACCAAACACATCCACCCAATTAAAATGAAATCTACCCTTTCATGTTATAAATCAGCCAAACAAATTAGTTTATTTGGAGAACTTATATTTTTGCGAAATGCATGTGCTTACACTGTTAGATTAGTTTCTCTATTGCATTTGTAGAATACCTAAGGTCGAGAAAAAATGTCTTCATGTGGGTGTGAAAGAAAAAGTTTTGGAACTACTACTTTAGATGTAATAATCCTATTTTTGTGACTGCTGTAATCTTTGTCAGATTTATTGTTACTTGTTTGGCATTTAGGCCTGATGGTCTCAACTGTAAATTCCACATGGAGTTCTTTCAAAAAGACACAAGAATTGTACCAAATGTATCTGGAAATATTTCCTGCTGTTAAAAGCAACAAATATGCTGATATACTAATTTTAATAAATTCCCACATTATTAAGATGCCACATCTTAGAATTGTAATTTATTCTTCAAAAAATTATCAGTCTTTTTTTTTTTTTTTTTTTTAAACCTAACATGTCCCTATTGTCAAAGTCAACTGCCTTAATTAAACTTTGTATACTCCGGAAAATATATAGGAATATCTTTGGAATGAACGATTTGTAAAACCATAAAAGGTCATCTTTTGAGTTCAATACCTGGCCACAGCAGAGGTGGAAAAAATTTGGAGTGTTGAGTTACTAAAGGGAAATAACTGAGATATTCAGAAAAGGCATGGCACATGGAACTAGAACAATTTACCCCCAGTGGACTAAATAAAGGGTTTGGTTCAAAATTCCAATGTATATCACCTGAAGAAGGCCAGAGCATACAATGGCTGAAATGTTGTGAATGTGACAATAAAGATGAGGACAGCAGTCCAAACAGTTATAATACCACATCTCAGAAATATAGACAGTGTATATCACGTCTATGCACACACATAGACAACTGATTAAATTTTCTTTGTGCCCAAAAGAGGATAGAAGCAAATAGTGTACATGTTATTTTTGATATTTAAATATTCACTTCAAATAAGTTACTTTATAATATGGCTAAGTCAGCACTGAATTTCTTCAAGATTGCTTTGTATTTTTTTTTTTTTTTGTTACTTTTAAGTATTCGTGAGATTAATAATGTTTACAAATTCTAAAACTGTTAGGTTTTGAGTATAGGCAATGTGAATTTATACAGAGATGCCAGCAGTGTCTGCAAAAAAAATGTGGTGTGTCGCATAGACAGTTTTTCCCTTGACATTGGCTATTAGTTTACCTACCTACTTTCACGTTTTGGCAATGTTTATTTTAAACACGATTAGAATTGTAATAAAACATAAACATATGAGAGCAAATTTATACATTTTCTATGTTCTTGAGAATTAACAACAAAAATAATAAACAATATTAGATTGTTTATTTACACTGTTTATTGGAATGGTTAGCAAAACACCAGCTAATTGCCAATCAATTCCAACTTTATAAAAAGGTAAATAAAGATTTCCTTGGTTCACATATTTTAATAATTTAGTAAATGTTTATAAATTTATGAATAAAAAATTGTTTCCATATTTTCATTTATTTCTTTATAAATTCGTAAGTGATAAATATTGCATTTCATTAATCTTAATACAATTCCATTGATTTTTAGAATGTTGTAAATATAAAATTATTCCTGTAAATAAACAATCTAATAGTAATTAATATTTCAGTTGTAAATTCTGAAGTACAAAAAATGTATAAATTCACTTTCGTCCTATGTTTACGTTTTATTAGAATTCTAATCTTCCCTTTTAAAAACAAACATTGCTGAGGGGTGAAGGTAGTTAAAATAATAGCAGTGTGAAGGGAAAAACTGTCCTATTGACACACCGTGTGTGTGTCTGTGAACAAAAGGAAAATATTGAATTTTTGTAAGTTCTCTGTACTTGTAAAATAGATATTTTTGAAGACAGTAAAAATGGTTTCATTTTTGTTCCATTTCTAAAGCCATTCTCTTTTTGATTTCAGACCACAATTGCAGCTGTTGAGTTCAAAGATGGTGTCGTTATTGGTGCTGATTCTCGAACAACAACTGGGTATGATCATTTGTTTTTAAAAGAAATTTTGGGTTTAAATTCAATGGTCCTGAAGTTGACATTGTTGATAAGTTACACCTTTTGTTGGTGAGAAAGGATTGTTTCGTTTTGATGTGTATGTTGCTTCCCAATTAGGTTTAACTTGGTGTAATTTATCTAGCCTTAAATAAACCTTTTTTTTTTTTTCATATCTGAAAAGTAATGAACAAACATTTATTTCTTCAACTTGTTTATTAGAATAGCAAGAAAACACTGATTATGTTAGCAGTCACTACAGTTTCATGTAATGGTCATCAAAGATTGATGCAGTTGTTCCATCAGTGTCTAAGCACATTAATACCTGCACTAAAGAATGAGGTGCATGCCTCTGCAACAATGGTGTCATCTGTGTAGAACCTGTTTCTCATAAATTTCAGTTAAGGGGTCTGATGATGATCTGAAAGAGCCAAAATTGATTTCATTACTTGGACCCCCCCCCACCCGAAGGAACAGCAGTCTACAAAGAAATTGATGGCAACTGTATTCTGCGATGCAAAATGTGTGCTGCTTGTGGACTTCATACTGCACAGTCAGACATTTAAATGGACAGTCAGAGAAGCTGTTTTATTGAAAGATTTGTGTGAGGCTGTCACCCATCTGCATAACAATGCCATTTCCAAATGTGGCAAGCTTGACAAGTGGCTCCCGTGATATTGGAAAGTTTTACCCACTTTGACTGTCAACATCTGGGAAATGATTCTGTATATAACATTGTTGGTGCAGACACTAGCCATGGGATGCCCCCTTCTTTGAAGTGAGTATTTATGCAGCGTTTTTGCACCAATCTTGATAGTGACTATATTAGAATGAAACATAGTAGAGCTGGTAACATAATTGCATAGTAGTAGTATTCAAGTTGAATTAGTAAATGTTTGTACTTTGGGATATTTCTTGTATCTTAAGTTTTAACTTGTAAAAAATAAAAATAAAAAATGCTGCCAAACGATAATCTTGAATAACAAAAATGGTTTAAGTAACCATCAGAAAAGTTTTATTCAAATATTGCTTGCAATTAAGGTATATTTGTATATACCTCCCCTGCACAACTTTTGTAGTTAATGTAGTATTTTAGATTGAAAATGATCTCGCCCATCATGTAACAAACGGAATATTTGTTTTTAAAACGAGGCTCACATTTTGAATTTGCTCTTGGGAAAGTAGGAAGATTCATGATGTGTTGCCAATTAGTTCTTCATTTATTTATCATCCTCAGAGCAGTATTATTTGCTGCCTGGTTATCAAATTTCATTTAATAGAAAACCAATTTCAAGCAGAAATTGTTTCGGAGGGTGGGGGAGAGCATTTCCAATCATTTTTTAATTGATCCCAATGTAAATGAGATCCACTCCCACATTTGCTTTGACTAATTCAATGCAGGCAGTTTTAGTTGAATTTTAACAATTGCTTTGATTTGTTGACAAATTGATTGACAAAATTTAAGATGAATGATCATTATTCTTGCACTAATTACTTCAGCTAAGGAGTAATTGTCATTTGATTCTGTTCATTTTGATGCTAATTAAAATGTCAAATTATCTCCAAACCTGAATTAGCATCATGAAGACAATTTTCTCTTGGCAACAGGTTTGATTTTTTTTTTTTCTTCACCCCCTTGCATTTCAGACCGTACATTGCCAATCGTGTATCTAACAAGTTAACCAAAGTGACCGACTACATTTACTGTTGTCGGTCTGGCTCAGCTGCCGATACAGAAGCTGTCTCAGACATCGTGCATTACCATCTCAGTTTCTACAGGTGAGTATAAAATCTTTTCCTGAAATTACACTCATCTGATTAAAAAATTAATTCAAAGTCAACTTTGCTAAATTCATTACTGTAATGTATTTTGAAGCACAAAATAAAAACGAGAAAAGATTTGTTCAATTCTATCACAAAAAACAATTTAAAAAAAAAAAAAAAAAAAATTTATTTTCCTTTCTAGTAAGCAGTTGCCACGATATCACAGATTGGGTTTTTTTTTTTTTTAATTTCAATTTTCTAATTTGTTTTAGTTATCGAGAAATAGTGTTATACAATTTATGAGATTAAATGAGAAAAGAATTAATTTTCCTGAAACTTGTCGTTTGTTCCAGAATGGAATTGGGTGAAGAACCTAGAGTCAGAGTAGCAGCTCATATCTTCAAGGATTTGTGTTACAATTATAGAGACAGTATAACTGCAGGCATTATTGTGGCTGGTTGGGATAAACACAGAGGAGGCCAGGTAAGCAGAGGTTACAGGATTTCTTTATTGAATCTCAAATCAAGCACTTTCAAGTGCTTCCTCATAATAAGTTTGACTATTATTTTTTTTCTTTTTCAATGAGGAGCTGCCAATATGGTTATCAGAGCAGTTTCCTTTTACTGAAAAATCCAATTGTTAAAAATCTGTATTTCTTTCAGGTATTTAGCATTCCAATTGGAGGAATGATCACTCGGATGCCATTTGCTATTGGAGGCTCAGGAAGTACATATCTTTATGGTTTTGTTGATGCCAATTACAAATCTGGAATGTCTAAAGAAGAATGTCTCAAATTCACTGCAAATGGTAAGTTAGATCTTTTTTTTTTTGACCTGAAGAATTGTTAGATTCTAGAGTTATTTGCAGTTGAGAAACAATTAGTTTATCTTGTGAAAGATATGATCCATATTTTGTAATCACAAGTTACATCTTTTCCATTTTTATAAAAATAGATTGTCATTGTTACCCTTGCTTCTTTCTAGCTCTGGCCTTAGCAATGAGCAGAGATGGCAGCAGTGGCGGCATCATCAACCTGGCAGCTATCACAAAACATGGCGTTGAGAAGATTATCTTGACTGGTGATGAAATACCAAAATTTAATGAAGAATTTTAATCTCTTTTGCCCTTGATATTAATTTTTTTGGTCAATAAAATCAAAGCTTTTGTTAAAGAACAATTTAGAGTTTCTTGTGTTTTGAAACCAAAGGAAATTACTCATTAAATGTAGAAAAAGAAAAAAAAAATTCAATAAATTCCTTTAAAAATTTGAAAAATATATTTTCTGTAAAGTAAAGAAATATGACATTTCTGATACATGAAAAATTTGATCAAGCTAAAAACAAAACTTTTACACGATTTCAGAATCAAACATCTAACAAAAAACTGGCAGTTAAAACAATTTCAAAAATCTTCAAAAACAATTTTTTTTTTTTTTTTCATCAGATTTCAAGTGTAACATGAAATATACATTGATAAAGTAGATGCAAAACTTTGCATATTCAAATGCTTCTGAAGTACTAACTTTTTTTTTTTTTTTTTTTTCGGAAAGTCCTTAACTCTTTGTCATAAAGATCATTAATATTAATAAGACTGGGGGGAAATGAGGACAGCGCAGGATTTGGATTTCCCTTAAAATTCAAGGAAAATACATTTTCACTGCAGAAACTGTTAAAAAAAAAAAAAAAAAAACTGCCAAGGGAGATAATTACAATTTCCTTAATCCCATGCAAAGAGAAATGCTCTTAGCATTTGCAGCCAGAGTTGAATTTCTTTAAAAGTAAATTAACTAGAAATGCAAAGACCTTAGAGTTTGCTTCCTTAAGCAATATTTTCTCTTTTGCCAAAGTTTCAATTATTTAATATACAATTTGTTTGATGTGGATTTATAAAGTTCCTTCTTCAACTGATATGATGCACATCTCACAAATTACAGAACATATTCATAATGCTAATACTTTTACAAAGAAAAGGAGGAATATAAAAAACTAAATTTACAACAATTAAAAACTTTCAATGATTTTTAGCTTCCACATAAATTCTATCCAACAACTAAAGTACAGCAGTTTGGTTCACATTAGGAACAGAACATTTAAACCATTTCAAGAGAAAAAACAAAAATCTGCAGACTAAACTCTCAGTGCAGGGTTTTATTGTGAAAGATTCAGATTATTGCAGCCTGGTTTATTCTTAGGGATTTAGATGAACACTGATGGGATTGGAACTGTGATAAAAAGGTGTTTCATTTCTTTTTAACCTTTAGTCCAGTTTTCAAAAACTGACCTAAATGTTTTGAGGTTCTATTTTGATACACGTAAAGTGGCAATCTAAACAATTTTGAGGCAGTGTAAAATGAGACAATAATTTTATGAATCTGACAAGAGGGGAAAACATTTCCACACAAGTTTTCACTGTGTTCTGAATGAAATATTGAAGCAATGATCTGTTATAAAGGTAGTTATATTCATAATTACTATTATAAAATTATGTTTGTACACACATTGGTATTACTAGACAGAAAGGAAACAAAAAAATAAAACAATATCATTTCACTTTGAAAACAGAAATTAGTGTTTGATTTTTCACCTTTGATGACCTATTAATAAAGACTACAAAAAAAAAATCATTTTAGTTAAAAGCAGCATATTTATCAATTTAAAAAAAAAAAAACAAGTGGAGATGACCCAAATATTTTTTTTTTTATAGAGAAAACTTCACGTAATTCTTGTTTGAGCATTTTTCATTGTTATAGAGCTATATCAATTGTTAACCCCCAAGTATCTCACCATTTTAATAATAGTTAAAAAAAAAAAAAAAAAAAATAGGGAGCAGTACATTTGGTTTGATCAATACTGTTTATTTTCACTGAGAAATAATTCAATAATTTGGCCAGTTTTTACTGTCAAGGAAGCAGAAGTAGAAAAAGCACCTTTAAAACAAGCCAGAAGGGAGCATTCTTTGTTCAAGAGTTTAGTATTTGCTCTTTAAAAAGGACGGAATAGTTCAGATTAGCAACTTTTTGAGCAATATTTAATTCAGTCATCATGACCAAAAAGCGTTTAGAGACAATGGATATATGGAAAAAAAGTGGGCAGCGGTCAGATAATGTTTAAATGACCATACTCCATTTGATGCCCTTATCTTTTCTTCAAGTAGGCCTTGGGATATTGACGGTTTTTCTCCAAGACAGAAGAACAAAAAAAAAAAAAAAGACTTGTCACTGGTATTAATAGTTTGAAAAGGTAAACTTTTTTTTTTTAAGCTGATTGACCAATTTTTGGAAAGGGGGGGGGGATTCACAACAGAATTTAAAAAAAAAAAAAAAAAAAAAAATGAATTCCAACATTTTATTCTAAAAGAAGAAGAAAAAAAAAAAAACCAAGTCTGGTAATTTGTTCCTAAGTTTTAAGTTCCACTCCAGAAAGCAAAATTTCCTATACTGATTTTTCATGCTGGCCAATTGTACTTTTTAGAAACAAAAGATGGTTGATTCTTTAAAGATTAGGCATTTTGAATTTTGTAGGCAGATACAACAAAGAATTAGTGTAAAAGTAATGAAAAGGTGGGGAGGTTAAAGTATGAGTTTAACATGTGGGTGGTTGTTGAAAAACTATCAAAGCATCAAGTGTCTGGTATAAAAGAATGATATTAATGATCAGTTAGATTCAAAATTTGAGCCTTCAGAGCAACATTTACAGTGAAAACAGCAAGTGTTTCCAAAAAGGAAAAAAAAAAAAATTAAAGAGATTATTTCCAATGATCAACACTTCAAAAAAAATTATATTAATATTTTTGCAATAATTGTAATTCCAAATTAAGATGTTGGCACCACTAAAGGTCCAGATACCAAAAATCTATTTTTTTTAAAATTTTTTTTTTATAAATCTTCATTGGAACATTTCTCCAGTAGAGAAAAAAAAAAAACTTTAAAAGCCGGGCATCCTTAAGTTATTTGTCAAAGTCAGAGACAAAAACAAACTGTCAGACACGTTTTCCTGGTTGTGAAATGAGAATTTATAGACAGGATTCTGTTTGCATTTTTATACTAATCAACCATTTCTCTCCATTCTACAATCACAGAACAACAAAGTTGCAGTAAGAATCATAAATTTAAAATCTATATTCTACGGAAAAGTTGACGTTAATTTTTATTGCTTGTCTGGCGGTTTTTAATCATAAGATGTTTCTCCATAATTTTGATTTAATAGTAAAGAAACAATGAAAAAAAATCACCGAGTAAAAAAAAAAAAAAAAAAAAAAAAATCATATCCTGTTTTGATCATTATGGCTTTTTTTTCTTTTTAAAGAAAGTAGTAACTTTTGCCAGTTTCTCTTGGGTTATGTCTGTTCACATTAGACGAAATACAGCCAGGAAGGAAAGCCTCGGAAAGTCTAGAGGTAAATGTGCACTGCATTATCAGTTCAGAATAATAATATTGCACAAAAGGTTAGACTGACGCAAGACATTTCGTAATTTAGAATTCAGAACAATTGCCTCAGGAAAGGGAAAAGCAAAATAGGGTCAATTTTGATCAATTTCAATCTTACATTAAATCTCAACTTGTAATTTCAAAATTTGTTTCTAGTAATTGGACTTTTTTCATGAGAGTAAACAAGATTTTTTCTATTTTTATATATAAACTGATTATTAAACAATGAAGGAAGTCAATGAAAATACAGGGTTTATGCTTGAGATTAACAATGGCACCTTTCTACAAGATTTGTTTGCAGATGCAAAATGAAAACAACTTTCAAACTGGCCATAAATTCAGACATCTTAATGGAACTGAGATGAAATTGTAAATGATTGGCACGATTTTAAAAATGTCAAGCAAATGAAGATTTCATGAACATAATCAAAGAAAATGACAATTTTGCAATAAAATAAAGTTGTCTGACAAAAGATCGCTTTTTTCCCTTTTCTGATAGTTGAAACAGAATGCAAAGTGGAGGAGGAGGGACTGGATCGGCAAATTTCAATAATCAAGTGGAAACAAAATTTGATGAGGAGGAAAAAAGATAAGAGCAAAAGAAAAAAAAAAAAAAAAAAAAAAAGAAGATGTTGGAGGACATAAAAATTTCAAGCCGGTAGAAGGAAAAATCCTCTGACAAGGTCATTGAGCAAAATATGGTTTTTGTCTTTCATCAAATTTTGAAAGCAGAAACAATTATCAGTTATATCTATTAGTTAATTACCTTTTTCAATTAATGTTTTCTTAATGGTGAAAATGATTTAAAAAAAAAATAAATGGTCCCATGAGAAATTCCAGACAATATGTCACATTAACATTCAAAAGGTCTTGTGTCTAGTTTTATTTTTAAAAGAGACAAACTATGTATAATCATGAAGGCAACTGAAGTTGTCCACTAATTCAATATTCAAGATATCAACTACTTACAAAAATAAGAGGGAAAAAAAAAAAAAAAAAAAAGGTGGATGAATTGCATTAATCAGTCATTTGTTCAATATTGAGTTTTGTTGGCTGAGAAAGACTTAAAATCCACAAAGCAGTGATTTCTAAATTTAAAATTAAATCTGGCAGAACATCTATTTTTTTTAAAATCTCAATTAAATTGTAAAATCTAAAAGATCCTAATTTAATTGCCTTTCCTTGAGTTTTCAAAGTCTTATTGGATTTTGAGGACCTAACTTACTGTTTTTAATTAATATTAACAAAAAAAAAAAAAAAAACAACACTTGAAACAAGTTTTGACCTTGAATTTAAAAGAAAATATGAAATTTATATCGTAACTTCATTGACAAAGATAGAATTGAGTTCCTGATTTCTAAACCCCTCTATAATATATATATATATATATATATATATATATATATATATATATATATATATATAATATAATATTCAAAAAGCTGTTAATATCCATTAGAAGTGTCAGTGTAAGTGATAGAATGATCTGATTGGCTACATCGATATAGATTTCATCCAATCAATAATCATCACCAATAAACAAATAAGAAACATATCACTGCGGGAAAAATAAATGACACAATGGTTTCTTTTCTCATTGATACCTACACAAAATACAGGAATGATGCAAACCAAAAACTCTTGTTAAGAGTCATTGAAAATTTATGATTATTCGGATTTCTTGTCTTTTATAATTAATTTTAAACAATGTAAAACAAAGTTTGGATTTCTTGGGTTATTCAATAAACGGCCAACAGTGTGCCAGATTTAAAATGAATAGCAATAAAAAAAAAAAAAAAAAAAAAAAAAAAAAAAAAAGGCACAACTAGACCCATCGACAGTGACATGGAAAAATGAGTGGAAAATTGATAAGAATTTCAGTTTGATATCAAAGACATTTTTCTTGGAAAAAAACAAAAAAAAAAAACTGAAAATGGTTCAACAAAAGTCACTTGTGATATCAAAATTTGCAGCTGAAAGAAAGCAGCAGCAAGACGATTCCACTCATCTTACTGCATTGGTAAAATTTCTCACCGAGTCAGTCATACAATGACCTTGGCAAACATTAAGAAAATAAGCCCTGAATTCACACAATTCCTGTTTCGCCAGTTATCCAACCACATCCTCTTCATCCTTGTCAGCCAAGGTGGCCCAGCAGTTTCAGAAATCAATATAACCTCCATTAAATGACGTGTCTGATACAATTGAGCCAAGTAATTCTTGTCTTTTTCTTTTTTTTTTATTTCAGGAAACTTTATTCCGTTTGGTACTCTGCCGGGTTTTTGGAGCCAAGCAATAGGAACAAGTAAAATCAAGACTGCTGGCTTCGTCCTCCGTGAGGTCACCGAGACGTGCACACAGGCAGTGCCACCAAGTGTCACAACCCTCACACTGCAGCCATACAATGTCAGTCACATCCCTGCGATCCTTCAGGGAACAACTAGCTGCAGCACAAGTGGCCCAATCGTCGTCATCATCGTCATCATCATCATCGTCGTCGTCATCTTCGTTGTCATCTACAACTACTTCTTCCTCTTCCTCCTCTTCTTCCTCTGCCTCCTCCTCATCTTCTCCTTCTTCTACCTCACTACCTCCTCCACTATCATGTCTTTTGGCAGTAATGCTTCGGCCAGGTTGTTTTCGCAACAACCGGTTTGTGTGATAAGAATTTGGGAACTTGGATTTTCTTCTTTGGGATCGTCCTCGGATTGTCTTTCCATTCCAGGTGGCTGAATCAAAATAAGAAAAAAAAAAGAATATTAACAAAGTCAAAATGAACACAAATTCAGATGTTTTTCTGTTTTTGTTTTTAAATCTATGAACATCACTTAAAACCTTGCAGCTCAGATACAATGATTATATCATAAAATACATTATTCCTTGAAGATCAGAAGGAATTTAACTCTCTTGAGATATTCCAAATGAACTGAAAGAGATCAAAAATGGAATCCTGACAATTTGGTGAATCTGACTCAATTTTCCTGAACTCCACACAAAGAGAAAATATTTGTTCTATTTTGTAATTTTTTTGAAATGCATGTTGTGTAATGCGGAAAGTGGAATCAGAGAGCAGAGTTCAAATACTAGTTGAGTTTGTTAGTCATGTGAAAATACTCTTTGGAGGGAAAGGTAAGAATCCAGAGACCTCTTTCTGCCTTTCCATCAGCATGGTTGATACTAACCTCCAGGAGAGTGACTCATGCCTTCCTGGATGAACTTTCTTGGCTGACATGAAATGGAAAGATGATATCGAATCCATTGCTATGTCAGCTGCTAAGAATGTTGGCTCACTGTGTCATGTGAAACGATTTTTCCTCAAAACTATCTTAACATATCTATGAATCTACCATGTATCCATGCTTAGAATACTGCTGCCACATATGGTCTGGTGCTCCTACTATACATGTAGAGATCCTTGATAAAATCCAAAGAAGAATCAGCAATATTACTGGTCCTGATCTGGCATCTCACCTTCAGTCACTTTCCTCCCACTGTAAAGTTCCATAGTAACTGTTCAGATGAGTTCTTTGCCAGGATAATAATTTTTAGTTGATAATGTTAGTTAAAAGCAGAATTCTTTGACAAATTTAAATCACTTAATTGTTTTAGCAAAATCAGACTTAGTCTTACTGAAAATCTGTTCTTAACTGAAAAATAAAAAAACACATTAAAGCAAAGAAATTATTTAATTCAATTGTTTTTATAAATAATATCTATTAAAGACAATATTGCCTGAAGAAAAAAATCTTTTTCACAGAAAAATTAATCTTTACAAGATTTGTTTTCAATTTTAAATGGAGTAATTTATAAAGTTTTAAAATCTTTTAAAACTCATTTTCAATGTGCTAATTCTTAGGAAATATTCGTCATTAAGTAAAACTAAATTTACTAATCATATATTGTAAAGCTTATTATAATCTGATGCTCCTGAATATTTTCAAAAGAATTTTGATTTGTTTTTGTATGTGTGATTACGTGCAGAATTTCTAAAGTATGGATGTACAAACTGACAAATCTATCATTAAAATGTCATGTGTTGCAAAACACAAAAAACCCCTCAACTTTATTGTCTGCTCCACTATAGATAAGAATTGTTTGTCTATAACATTTTATACTATAAGTAATATTTGTTTTAAATCTGATTAATTTAACTTTAAATTTGCTAATTTTCCTCAAATAATGTTTCAGAAACATATTTTATTTTTGCAAGATTTTTAAAACCAAGAATTAACTTTTGTTTACAAATATATCAAGAATGTCTGTTTTGATCGCTTTTACTGAAAAAAAAAAAAAATCAATTCCAATCAATATAATTTCTGTTTAAAATACACAACAGAGTATTTTGCTTACTGGAAATAGTAAAATTTTAAATCCTTTAGCTTTCAATTAAAAGTTAAAGGATTCAAGAAAGCTTTTACAGTTTTAAAAATTCATTTTAAACCTTACATATACTGTAGCAGTACCTAGTGAAATGTTGTAAGAGCCAGGGCACAAATTTATTGTAAATGAGCTTGCAATCAAGGCACTCTCTAGACATTTACATCATAGTGAATTATTTTGTTCTTTGATCAGAGTAGTATTTTTATGTCAAAATTGTCACCAATATAGTTATTTATTTAGATTCCTTCTGGTTTCTCCAATGCATTTTTTGTGACAAATATTACAGCAGGTGATGTAGTAAATTCCTCCTTCTGGTTTTAGGATTCGTTTTGTTTAGCATTGACTACGTCATTTATTGTTTTGGATGTAGTAGTAACAATAAGATAATAAGTATAGATGGAAAACTGTTTCAGTGTATTTTTGTGACAATCTGATTTCCTCAGTAAAAATGTACACAACTCCTGTAAATTGTTTAGAGAATAATTTCACTTTTTGTGTTGAAAATACAAATAAGGAAATACTCCTTTACAGGATGGAAAATGTTCTTTCTCCATAGATAAAACATCACAAATCTCTCACTGCTCTATCACTATTCCCATAGAAAGTGTTCAGACGAACTAAATTTCTTTGTCCCACCAGTTCTAACCATCACAGCTAAGACCTGTCATGCCACGCCCATTGTAGCAAACTACCCTCATTCCCTTCATATTCCACTGGAGAGATCTAAGTTTCGTTCAAGGAGTTTTTTACCCCAACAAACCACTGCTTCCCTGATCACTACAATTTTAATCTGTCAACCATATTCTTCCCCACATATCCTCATAAACTGTGCCTCTTACCCTGTACTCCTCTAGATTGAGTGTCTTTTGGGCCTTGTACAAAGTGAACATTATTGTAAAGAAAAAAAAAAACACGGCTACATCCCTTAGGTCCACAGGTTCTAACCTTTGCAGCTAAGACCAGCCATACTACATACACCAGGGCAAATCCACCTCATTCATTTCGTATTCCATTATTAAGAAAGAAGTTTTATTTGGACAGCTTCTTCCCAAGGACTGCCACTTTGTGGAAGAAACTCCTGAGAGGATGCTTCCCTGATCCATCTTAACTTCATCAAGTGTTAACAGTTATCTCTACTACATAACCTTATAAACTGCACTTCTTATCCTCTCCTCTTATGGACTTATGACATCATATAGTAACCCTCTACCTTGAGTGGCACTTGGGCCTGGTATTGGGTGAACGTGAAGAAAAAAAAAAGAAGATATCTAGCATTTGAACTTTTGATTACCATTACTAAGATAAAACATTTTTCTTTGAAAAAAGAGAGAGAGAACACCGTCACCTACTCACCTAATCCTTTCCGTTTCTTCATAATATGCACGTTTCTGTTCTTTGTCTTTCGTTTAATCAGTCGGCTGACTTGTACTCCATCTTTTTCATCCTCTATCTTATAAGGGGCTTTGACCACTGTGCATGAACGTTTCGGCCTGGGTGTCATCTGCGAGGACGTCACCTGGGAAGATGTTGTAGAGAGGTTTTCTGAATCAGTGTCAGAATCTATGTTGCCGTTAACAGCTGAAGGGAAAGGCATTTGCTCAGTTCTAGCTAGACTTTTTAAGGGAGCTGTGTGAAACACCACAGCCGATAGATCTAATTCCTCAGCCGAGTCTGCAACGGGAGAAGGCAAACTGAAATCAGAATCAGAGGAATTGATTCGAATTGGGGCTGCGTTCGTCTTGTCACTCTTCTTTTGGGTGTGACTGCTGGAGGAGTCAGCAGCGGCAGCAGTGGAAGAGGAAGAAGAAAATGCAGATTTTGTTAGTCCGTCCTCTGTGGACAGCGATTTCGACTGAGTCACCACACCAGGTTCTTTATTAAAAGCAGGTAAATGAGGATGATATTTCTGAGGTGATAATACTGGCGGGGATTCTTCTTTGACCAAAGATGATGATTTCTTCTCCTTGTGACATGGTTCACATGTGTCCTTCTCGTGAAGACCACTTAACTAAAAAAAAAAAAAAAAAAAATTAAATAACATGAAAAGAAATAAAGGTTTCTTAAAATAACTGTGTTTTGAGAGTAAAGAGCTTTTCTATTAGGTTTTTTGCAAGGTGAAGGGGTATGTGAATCTGATACTGGCACAAATTCTGCTTCTTGGCACTTTGAATTTACTTCAACAACAGAGCCAACTAAAAATCCAAGGCTTGAAATAAAGAGCCAGGCTGATCATGTACATTTATAAATCTACCATTTGTCCGTGTATTGAATACTGTTGCCACATCAGGTCTGGTGCTCCTGCTGTATATCTCTAGATCCTTAACAAAATTCGAAGAAGAGTCTGTAATATAATCGATCCTTACTTGGCATCAGTCACTTTCCAACTGAAGTAAAGTAGCTTCCCTATGCCTTTCCTATAAATATTTTCATGGTAATTATCCAATCAAGCTTTCTATTTTGGTACCTTGCCTACATTAATTTAAGTGCAGTACTAGAATGTCAGTTAGGTCTCACCATTTTACTGCTGGAATAGCTAGATGTAATGCAAGTTCTATCCTAATAGTTTCTTCATGGCTCTTGCATGTGGAACACCCTTCTGAATTCTTACTCCCCTGCCACCTACGATCTTCAATAATGTAAATGCAACATTAATTGTCATCTTCCGTCTTTCTGAACCCTGTTCCTTTATTGTCCTCTCCTCATTAAAGTTTTCTTTCTCTTTCACCCCCAGTAACCCCCTGAATCCTAGCCTTGCTTGGGGTTAAATGATAAAAGAAAAAAGCTAGACACACTCACTCACATATTCCGGAAATTAGTCTGAAAGAAGAAATCTTAGGTGCATTTTCTAACTTCACAATTGGTCTGCAACTTGTGTCAAGCTGAAGATCAGGACTAAAGAATGGTAGGTAAAAGGAATTATTCTCACTTACGAAAGAAGTGGCATCGATGACGACATTTTAGATAAAGAATTCATAATGCTTGCAGTAATCAACAGGCATATATCAATATCTGTCTATATTTCCTCAAGGACACATGGCACAGTGGATAAAGGCATTGGTTAGATCCAGTGACAGGACCCAAAGAGTGTGAGTTCAATACCCAGTTAAGGCAGTGGAGAACTTTCAGAGGGAAATTAACAGGAGATAACTGATAACTGACATCCATTAAGCATGGTACGTGGAACTAGAACAGTCTACCCCAGTGAGCGAAATAAAGGGTTCAGTTCGACATTCCAACCACCTGAAGAAGGCTGGAGCGCACAACGGTCAAAACGTTGTAATAAATATGGCAACAAAGATGAGGACAATAGTCCGAATAATGTAAATAAGGCATATATCAACCATACCAGTCTATATGAGTAGGCATACATAACTCACCTCATTTCTTGACCCAGTCCCCACCCCACCCCCAAAAAAACATATATTGAGACTAGTTTATTGCCCCAATAAACAGAGGTGCTGAAGTATTGGATAATAGTTAATGCAGCTTACTGAGAACTGAGGTCTATCATCATAGGGTGCTTTATACATGAGGCTGTGTGCAAAACTGCACTAGGATGCCTTGACATGGGGCAATAAGTACAGAGGCTAAACTGATTGACCATTACTACTGTTACTGATGGCACAACACAAAATAAGATGAAACAGATTCTTAAAAATTAAAGTTGAAAGAAAAGATTACATGTAATAACGAAAAGTGGGTTTTATTTAACATATAATACAATAATTTTATAAACAGTTGGGCTAAGGTTTAAACAATATACATTGGGAAATGCTAACAGTTAATAAGCGTGTGAGAGCCGAGAAGGTAGTTGGCTTAACGTGTAGCTATATGAGGGAGTGGGAGAGGAAATTCAATACAGTTAAGATTAAGGTGACAGATGGGAATTCGTCGCTTGTCAAAGAATAATATTTTCTTCTTAGAATTTCACATGTATATAAAATAAAGGAGTTTGGCCAATAATATCAAAGAATAAAAGGGGAAGTATTTACCAATAGCCTTTTCTTTTTGATGACTGTCAGAACTTAGATTCTTTTGGTCAAAGCTTTGTTCATGAATCAAACGGACCAGAGTCAACCTCAATAGTCAAGGCTGTGGGTTCAGGAGGCAAACTGGCTAGTTGGTATGAATTCCTGTTTATATATATTTTTTGTACCCTCTAGAACCCAGTAGAAGTTTCTAGAGACTTCTAGAAAGTTCCATTCTATTATTATGAAATCTAAAGTGTTTGGTGAATGGGAGCTTTTCGTAAGTAATAAAGGGCATCTAGTAGCTACAGATTTAAGTCATCATTTTAAGTTAGGTTCTGTATTTTACAGTGTAAGTGTAAAGAAGTAGGACAAAATGGGGCCTCGTAACACGACTAAGTAGTGAGATCTATCCTCACTGGGTGGCCCATACAAAATTCGACATTAAATAACCCAACAAGGGCTGGCATGTAAAATCAAACAACCCAACTTAATAAATAAGTGTATACACCCCAACATTTTTTGCTTCAATAAACAGGCATCTAACATCAATTTTCATCAGGGTCTCTGAACCAACAGAATAGTTAATCACCAATCTTTTCAAAGGATCAAATGAGACAAATTATTTTACATAAGAGAAGATTAAATTAGGTTAGGTTGGTTAACTTTAGCACTCGGCAGTATTAATATTACTTTCCACTGCACTTTTTTCAAGGCCTCTTAACTGCAGTATATTTATTTTTAATTTCACTCAAAGCTGTTTTTAGTTGCCATAGCAGGATATGACAACACAACTATGAAATTCAGACAAATTCAGGGATCAGAGTCACCTTCATTTGCTTTACAAAAATTTATCCTGTCACTGAAGTCACATACAGAGTAATAAAGGTTCTTTTGTGGAGTTAGTTAATGTTAAACAAAAACACAAGGACTAAGTGGACACAGGTCTGGCTTGAGCAGAGTCAAAAAAGTAGACATATGTACAATTTATACCCAAGCCAACAAATATACACCATGTTGGTTGATTGTTTTTGTTTAGCAACTCATCAACATCTCTATGGATTATTTAATGCTGAAATCTAAATATTTTGTATGCAATTTTATTTTTGTAGATAATAATGGTTTAATGATACAAGTCATACTAATTAACCCATACCTGGGGGTAGAAGTGGTGATTCATACCTTTCCCATTTGCACATAAGTGGATATAATGAACCCAAATTGGAACTTGGCTCTCTGATTAACAATTCTGAGCCATTATCCATTACACCATCTGCAAATCCAAGCTTACAGCACCTGATATTCCCAAACGATCACTCATCTAGATACTGAACAGGAATTTTTTTTTTAATACTAGTGCATGCCCAAGAGCCATCCAAGGTAGAGAGTTAATGAATGAGGTTGTTGTAAGGATGTAAAAGGAGGAAGGAAGAAGTGCATATTATGAGGATATGTAGGATAGATAATGAATGACCCAAGACTTGAAAAGGTTAAGATTATAGTGATTGGGGAAGCATCCTCACGGAAGTTTTGTTTGGTTTATGGTATGTCAACCTCAATGGGTTATTTAATGCCAACAAGATTTTCATTGTTGGTAATATTTTTTTCCAAAAATCTATTTCTGGTAATATTTTTTCCTTCAAAAAATCTATAGCTGGCAATGTTTTGTTTTTTTTTCAAAAATGTATAGTTGGTAATATTTATTTTTAAATGTATTGCTGGTAATAATTTTTTTACAAAGTATTTCTGGTATTAAAACCTATTTTTACCCTTTCATAGTGCTTTGACCCCAGTTTTGGGGCCAACTATTTGCCCATAGATATGACCCCCAACAGGTGCTACCACCCCAGGTCAGGTGGACCTGGGAACACCAGCAATTAAGAGGGGGTTCCACCGCCTCACAAAACCTCCTGATCAGAGGGATTGCTGTTGGATGTAGTTTTTCATCTTAGCCAGGATGTGGATGTAGTTTATCGTCATACCCAAGACGGTCTCTTGAGAGTGTTCCACAAAGTAACAGTTGAGGGGAAGAAGCTAAGTGGAACTTCCTCCAAATCAAGGGATCCGAAATGTACACTCAGTCCCAATGATTTTATTTTTTTTTTTGTCTTTTTTATCTTCGAAGACAATTTGCAACATGAAGAGAGAAAGTTTGGATTATAAAGAAGAAATCAAATGTGGGCTTACGTTGAGTAACTGTTGGCGAGCCTGTTTTATGACACTCCAGCTTCCATAAAGGGCAATCACTTGATTGGGTAACATGATTGTGGCCAGACCTGGATAAGTTGGAAGGACCTTGGTTATGAATTCTAACACTTTTGGATTATCTAATATTGCTTTCTTCATCACAGCAGTCAGGCCCTCAAAGATCTGAAGAAAAACAAAGCAAAGAAAATGGCAAATGACAATGTAGAATTTTTAAAATCGATTAGGTCACAGCAATTGAAAAGTGATTTTCTCTTTTTACACAATGTCAAATTTTATTATACAAGTCAATGTTTTTACAACAGAATTAGTATTAACCCAATGCTGCTTGTGAAAATTTCAGGATACAGTCATGTGATAAACAGACAATATTTCATCTTATAATAGTGATTTTTGTTGGATATATTACCACTACTTAAACCAACTAATCTGCTCATAAAAAAAAACAAAAAAAGCTGGAGAGGATGTTATGGGGAATAATTTTTGTTGATTAGTGTTCATTAGACAAGTGGTTCTCAACTGGGGCCCATGGTAATATTTTTGTGATCCATAGAGCAATTTCACTTTAGAATAGTTGTTACAAGTGAGAATTGGAATTTCTACAGTAATCTATGCTATATTAAAATATTTAAAATAGAAAAAAAATTCTAAAACTAGCAGAAAATGAGATCAAGTGATGGAAGTTAGTGTCCCTTTTACTTTAGCGGATGTTTTGATTGTAAAAGTTTAATAAAAACTGAGCATATGTAAAGGCAGGATTTATATATATATATATATATATATGTTAAAAAAAGGAAAATTATATGAAGATTATAATGGAATATATAAATTAATTTAATATATTAATAATAAATAATATTAATTTTAAATATTAATAAAATAATATATTAATATAAAATATTAAAAAGAAAAATTTTAATAACTTAATATATAAAGGAAGAATTAACATTATTAACCACTTCAGCAGCAGGGACAATTTCTGGCAAAAACTATCCACTCTGAGAGCTTATATATGTACTAGTGTACATAAATGTTTTATAGAATTTAGTTGTTAAGTACAAGTTTATTTTCATTAAATTAGTTTTACTTCAAAATAAAGCACATACATTTACTATTTCTAAAATACAATTACTAAACTTATCTATTAGTAAAAAATAAAATAAGTTTTATTTTTTATTGAATGGTAATGGGTCCACCAAAAAGAAAACTGAGCATAAAAGTGGTCCATGGGTAAAAAAGGTTGAGAACCACTGAGACCATGGGTTGCAAACAAATGACCTGTGTACTATCTCTTTGTTGTCCATGGGGAACTAATATTTCCCTCAAATTTTAATGTCTAATTTCTGTCCCTCACTCCTTCCATACTTTTGCAATAGTAGTATTGAGTTAAACCCAACCACAAAGTGTAAACAGATAGTCAATTTTAAGGTCAGCAGGGTCTGTTCTAGTTCCTCTCCAGCAAAGGGAAGAAAACTTGACCTATCAGCACCATTTATTCTTTATCAGCTACCTGACAAGAGGGTACAAAATGTACATTGAGATAAAGTCTTGATCTGTCTTTTTTAATTTTATAAGAATAAATAAATTTGACAACTCATATTAAGGAAAGCAGAAGTATCAAATTTTTTATATACATTTAATATAGTTAAATCTCTCAAAATAATTCTGAAAATAAGACAAATTGGTTTAAAAAAATGACAACTGGAAAAAATTCTTAGTTCTTGTTGACGCATTTTGTCTTCCAACTTTATCAAGGCAAGCAATGAAAGCAAAATGTTTTATAGCCATAGTTACATCAAATCCAAAATTTAAAAAAGGATACATCTTTAAAAAAAAAAAAAAAAAAATAAATAAAAAAAGCCTTGATAAGAATATTTGTGAAATGTGAAAAGATTATGACTTGTTTCAGGGACTTATTGAGGGCTGTTGAGATGCGATACAGCTAACCCAGACAAGAAGAAATGGAATTTTTTTTTCTAAAGAGGAGAAGGGATAAATTTGCCTACTCAGATTGACATGGGGGTTCAGCCAAGAGGACTACGATGCACACAACAGAAAATGAACATTTTCTTCATAGTGAAAGAAGGAACGGATTTGATATCATGTTTGGGTGGAGGGCGGATAAATGAAACAATCAGAGTTGTCAAATTTATCTATTCTTATAAAACTCATGTTTGAAAGAAGTCTGAGAGAAGATTGTTAAATAAAATGAAATTTCAATGAAGAAAGATGTATTTTTGGTTGACTCCATAATTGAAACAAAATGTCAGCAATATCAAAGAAAAGGAAAATTGCTGAGGAGACTCAAACCATTAAGAAAAGTGGGAATAATTTTTTATTTTTTTTTATTTTATTTTGTGAGATTGATTCATTTTCTGCAGGTTATTTAAAGCCATAAAATATTTGTAGATTGTAAGAATTTTTTTTTTTTTTTCAATAATGATTTAGTGATACAAGTCTTAATAATTATAATTAAGACATAGCTGGGGGGATAAAGAGGTGGATTCATATCTTTCCCAAGGGTATTTGCATGTAAGTGAATATAACAAAACTAACTGGAATTGAAACTTGGCTTTCTGATTAATAATTCTGAGCCATTATCTATCACACCACCTTCATATCCAAGCTTACAGCAATTGGTATCCCCAAGCAGTCACAATGACCAGGATCAACATTGCTTAACAGTGATTGTACAGGAACTGGTGTTTCAACATAATGTGGCCATAAGCTATTTTGTGAGAGATAAATAGGTGTTGCCAAATGAATCTTAAAATGTGGCAATGTTTCACATTTTGATGATTCTTTTTTTTTAAAAAAATTATGTGTAATTTTTCTATCTTTAAAGATGTACTTAAAAAACATGAATAGCTGGAATATGTGCATGGTATTGCCTGTCTGTTCTATCTCTTTTAGAATTCCTATTTCTTAAAAAAAAAAAAAAAAATTCAGATTTGTGAGTCTGTGGACCCCCATGGCTGGGAACCCATCAACAGGTTTTGTGGCCCCCTGTTTGGGAAGTTGATGCTCCATAGCTGAAACCTTAATGACTGGCCTGCTGTACCTTTCCCTCAATATGTAATGGCCCCTTTTGTGTCCTCGAGTTCGAAACGTCTTCATTAGACACTTCAAGCAATGACGTTTGTCAATAAAAAAAATTGATATTTTAGAAGCGGGAGGTAATGTTCATAATATAAATACAGTGTCAAATTGATCCCTGATTTTTTAAAGAATTATCTGTAATACCAAAGATGAATTGAAGGATAAGATTATGGCATCATTCACCAATTTAAACAAGGAGATTGTCCAGAAGAGTTGCAAGCGATTCTGAAGTTGTCTGGAGGCCATGATTGAAGACAACGGTGATTTTATTGAATATGTTTACTCTTTAGTATTTCAAGATATTTTTGTGTAATTTTGGTAAATATATCTGTTAAAATGAGATGTCAATGTTATTTTCATTTTTGCATGATTTAGACGACAATTTATCCATCGCACCTTGTAGATTGCCATTGCTCATAAGACAGATATAAGCTCAAAAGAGAAACAAGATATTGTAAAGTTATTGAGCAATAGAATCATAACAGATATCAGACTGATTAAAAGAGAAACATTGGTTAAGACAAGAACAAAAAAAAAGAAAAGAAAAGAAAAAGAAATTAGTTTAAAAATGTTACAGTAAAATTGCAAGAAAATATTTATAATATTTAAGCCATTGGCTAAAAATATGAAAAGCAGCCAAAGTCCTATTTTTAAGTAAATGTAGATAGACTTTATGAATTTAAGCGGAGATTAGATTAGCAACAAGGTCTCATCATTTTACGGTCGAAATGGCTAAATGTAACCATAAGTTATATATTATAGTTTCTTTTCTCGCTTGTGGAACTCTCTTCCAGCTTCTTCCTTTCCCTGTCAAGTTTGATCTTCAAACATTTAAATGCAATGTCAATTGTTATCTTCTGTCTTTGTAATTTCTGTTCTTTTATTGTTCTTATTCTTTAATAATGTTTTTCTTTTTCTTATATTCATTCACAGGCAGTACATGCTGTATCTTAGTAGGCTTTATTGCCATGCTTAAAATGATTTTAAAAAAATTGTAAAGAGAAAAGTTGGATGCAGAAGTATGTTAAAACTGATTACTTGAGAGTATTTTTTATTTTATTTATGAATCTAGAGTTAAAGTGGATTGATTTGACAGCTAAGCTACGGTCGAGTCATTTATGGTAATAGTTGGCTAATACAACAGGTGGGAGGTGGAGTAATGTCTTGAGCTAGTAATGTAGAAAGTTAAATTATAGGTGACTTTGAAGTTGATGATGATGTCAAGGTAAATGCAGAGAATTAAAGTAAGCTCTTGGAGAAGTTGCTTTAAATTAAAACTTAAAATTATGTAAGACGATGATCTTTGATATTCTGCAAAGCTGAGTATTGACTACCTTGCAGAGACAAAAAGGTTTCACAAAGACACCAAATTAAAGGAATGGTACCTAACGTTTTCAGATATTAATCACACAGTAAAATTGTGTTTCATCATTAAAAGGGATGAATATGAAAATGGAAAACTATTTATGAACTAAGAAGAAAAAACAAAATCTGCTGTAGGTAATGTTCAAGTTGAAAAGTTAAGAAAATTTATTTCTTCTTGTTCAATGCATGTTCAGGTGCACCAACACAAGTATATATATATATATATAAAATAAATCTGTGGGTATATAATCAGAGTAGATCCTAGTAATATAAATATATTAAGACTGATCCACAAAAGAGATCTTAATGTATTTTAGACCAATATGAATGAATAATCCAAAAACAGTCTTCTTATCTCATGTTGGGGAATAGACTATTTCGGCAGACAATGAAAGTGGTCATTTGTCTTTTCAACCCCAATGTGAAATGAAGTTCACGTCTGTAGAGGAAGTAGGAGTTATAGATTATATTATGAATATATAATATAATTTCACCTTAATTAGCCACCCTAAAATCACTCCCTGATCCCCTCTAAATCTTCAAATGTCGATTTTCAAATTTCCATAGTGTAATTTTGTCTTTTTAGTCACCTTGAGTCCCTACCTCACTCTTACCTCCACCTAAAATCTTTTTATGCTATATTAGTTAGAATTTATAAACTTTCATCTACTTAGAATTTTCCCCTTAATTCTCTTTCTGTTAATCCCTTTCCTCATTATCTTATATATTTTTTAAATCCATTTTTAATTTTATTCTTTTCCCCAATTTTCCTTCATAGAGTTAATATTCTCTGACCTATTTAATACATCTTCTCTTTAAGATAGATAGTCACCACCCACCCTGACCCCTGTCTGGTGCCTATTGCCTGACTTAAACATCGAAAAGTGTGAACACTATATTAGGTATGTTTAGGCAAGTTAAATTTTAGGTTGCCTTTTAGCTTCTAATATCACTTCCTTACAGTCAACACCAACTTTTTCTACGGATGTGAACTTTATTCCACATCGGGGTTGAAAAGATAGTCATCTGCCGAAATAGTCTATTCCCCCCATAAAGTAAAAAGAATTTTTTGATTATTCACATGCAAAACAGATGAGGCAAACACACAGAGCCTCAAATGAAAAGTAACAACGTTTAAAATTATCAGCATAGAGTAGCACTCATTTTACACAAAGCCCAAAGATAAAAGCTGTCCTTGAAGCTCTTTGTCCTAGAACTAATACATCTAAAATGTCACCTTGACATTAACAGATCAAACAAGTGGTACTTGGGATGTATGCTATCTTTGATTATGTTTTCCACTCTGCTGTGACAACAAGAATTAGAAGAAATGTCCTCCAAGGAGGACTGCAAGGAACTGATTATTTTCTGGGCAACCCTCTGGATAGACAGTCCTCCTGTTTGTTGACAAATCAAACAGTGATGTTCATATCACCACAATCTCAATAGACCAGCAGTAAAAGGTCATCAGCAGATCTCTTCGGAAATTATTTTTTCTAAAAATTCTCAGTAAATAGTCACCAGTCTAACTTCTTGATTTCTGTTGTTGAATGACTGATGAAGGTTATAGAATATCAAGGAGGCAATATTAATAAAAAATAGCAAATGAAGTATATGGGCTATTTTATTAATCAAATGTTTCAATGGTATAAATCTTTTGAATTTATTTAGAAACAAAAATTTATGATGCAATTTAAATAATAAAATGTGGAAAACATGTCATTAATTTTTTTTTAAATATGGATAAATATTATAAGCTGGGACTCATGATATAATACGCTTATAAATAATACTAAATCTAATCTTGTATGTATGAATGCACATGTGTTTCTGAGATACAGCTTACATGATACATAATACCCCAACTACTAATTTAAGAGAATATTGTAATTTGAACCCCTGCTGAGTGCAGTGCCAAATTTCATCAAAATTAGACAAGGGGTTCTTGAGCTAGGGTTGCTTTTTACGGTATTTTTAATAAGAAATTAAGTATTTGTTTTCAATACACATTCTTATATTAATCCATGTATAGAAACCAACACTTGCATATTATATTCCAACTATTATGTGTGTGAAAAATAAATAAACATTACATATAATTACATTATTAACTAAATATGCATAATGCAACAATTCACTATACTACATTAGAATGTTTTTATAAACAAGGTGAACAGGATACATGTACCACATGACGATGTTAAGTAAATAAATAGATGCACATTTGTTTGCGGCTGTTGCATATTTTGAAATAAATGCGAGGAAGAAACAAGTATGTGCAATAAAAAATATACTTATTATTTTGAAAAAAGACTGCACAGATTTAAGCTGTTACTCTAAATGTGTTATCTATGATGCCCAATGGAACAATAAACCTTCTTTTAGCCGTCTTTAGTATTAACCCTTTGAGCCCTAACCACCGCTTTACCAGTGGTAGAGAAAATGACGTAATGACCAGTGACTGATTGAATGGTGGGTAAACACTTGTAACTATTTTTATATTTACTATGAAACATTACATACCAATTATTTGCAAATTTTGACTCGGAAGTTCAGGCAGAAGAGTTAAAATTGTTCAGGAATGCAGGGATCAAAGGGTTAATTATTCATTTTGTATTCAAAGTACATTTTATGAAAGAAATTTCTCTTTTAATGTAAAGAAGTAAAACATATCTACTGATATTGTAATATAATTTATTTTCATACTTTAAATCATGATACATTAGCATTAAGGCAATTTAGGCGCTTTTCATTCATTTTTTGCTTCTATAGTTTTACATTTTTCAGTTTTATTTTCTACTATAAGCCCAGTGGAACAATAAACCTTCTTTTACCATCTTTAGCCTTGTCAATATTGTAATTCAAGCTGCTTCCTATGATGACAATGACAGTAATTATCACAATAACTTGTGTTGCAAATATAAATTAAAATGTGTAATTAATAGTAAAACTGATAAGGTTGTTATATCATCATTTTATATGACCACAGCATAGGTGAACAAAAACTTTGAGAGTTGCGTTACTAAAGGGAAATAACTGAAACTGAGATATCCAGAAAAGGCATGGCACGTGGAACAAGAACAATCTTCCCCAGTAGACTAAATAATGTGTTTGGTTTGAAATTCCAATGTATATGACCTAAAGAAGGCTGGAATGTTGTGAATATGACAATAAAGATGAAGACAACAGTCTGAACAATGGAAATAGTATCAATTTCATTATTTACACCCAGAGTATTGTCTTCATCTTTATTGTTTATTATCACAGTGTTTCAGTTTCAGCAAGCACATGTTGATCCAGGTAACTGTCTGGAAATTTCAAACCGAACCCTATATTTAATCTATGGCGTTAGACTGTTCTTGTTCCTCTGGCCCTGGTTGCAAGTAAATTAACAGCAGATGTTCTGTCATTTGTTTAAAGGTTTCATGATGATAGACACAGGGTCACATATCTACATTGTCTATACAAATCTACGTTTAGTTCGTTAAAGAAGTCTGTCTTACCAGATCATCATTTTCCTTGTCAAAGATCAAATCTTGGCAATCGTCTTTCGAAGTCATTTTCAACACACCGCAACCGCTGTCAATATTTTCTTTGGCTGCCTGGCAAGACTTACTAAATGACAAAGTCGAGTTTCGATGTAGAGAGTCTGCCTCTTCTGTCTTTTTCTTTTTCCGTGGTGACTTTCTAAATGAGAAAGAATCAGAGAAAGACAAATCTGACTTGTGATTTCTGAACACGTGCCAATTCGAAGTCGTTCTGGAGTGATAACTGGTAGCCTGTCTGACACGGTGCAACTGGTTTCCGTTGTACAAGTTTCGTTCTTGTCGTATATCCATCTTGTCTTCACACAAATCAGGTTCCACCCTACTGATTCTCACATCAGGTGCTGTTGTTGCTATAAGAAAAGCAAAAATTAAAAATTATTTGTTTTGAAAAAAAGTTAACCAAAATTTAGACACTATGAAATGATAACATTTTAGATGTGCCTGGCTTTGTAGGAAAAGACATTCACAGCAGCAGTAAAGGGAAGTGAAGGATTTCAGCTGAATAGGCGAATTCTCAAAAAGGGACAATTTGGGAACCTAAACAAAAGCAAAACTAAATTAAAATGACTAAATTTTCAGGAGAGAAAAAAAAAAAAAAAAAAAAATCAACAAACAAAGCTGAATATCTGACAGCATAAAAAGACACAGGCATAGCATATTCAGGAAAAAAAAAAAAAAAAGAAAAGAAAAGGTTTTAGTGTATGTAAACATGAAATATTTAAAACAAAAAGTAGCCACTTGCGTCTTAGTGGCATTATCACCTTGATTGGGGGTGGATTAAAAAAAAAAAAAAAAAAAAAAAAAAAATGCCTGTAGAGAAAAAAAGTGTTCTTTAGTTGATACTAACAAAATATCACCAAACATGGATGCATTTGATTTTTGCCACAGTGACTGATTTCTCTGTTGAAATTTTGTGATTTGAACATTTTGTTTGTTAGGTATTGCTTATTTGATATGTAATTTAATTAAACTAATTCTAAATACATTGTAGCATATCACCCTTATTTCCTTTGTATTTTATTGGGGAGATGCAACTTCTACTTAAACAGATTCTTCCCATAAGCTCCTACTTTGTGGAAACAACTCTTAAGAAGTTGTGTCCCCCAGTCACAACAATCCTAACCTGTTCAAATATTGGGCTAACCATTATCTTCCTCACATATCCTTCGTAACCCTCCAATTCTAGATGCTCTTGTGCTTTGTACAGGATAAAATTTATTGTAAGCTATCAGAATATTATCAAACACGACAAAAGCACTTTAGCTCTAAAACATTACTGTATATAAAAAGCAAACTCACAACAAAACTGAACATTTACGAGTCATATAATTTTGGAGGTGGGGAGGGCATATTTCTTTGCAGCCTTAATGTTATGCTTCCAGTCTTAGTGCCATTTAACTAAATAATATTTGGGCTAGGTAGAAGTGACCATTAAATTATAGCCTATAGGGATGGGTGGCCTGAATTTCACATCAGTTGCAGGGTGATATTTATTATTTTTATTTTCATTTATTTATCTTTTTTAGAAAAAATCTCCATTTTATATGCTGCCAAATATGACAATTCCTAGAAACCCTAATCAGAATTTTTAGAAGCAAGGTAGCAGTTGAGCATTGCAAGTATAATGGTATTTTGTCAGGGAATATTATGTGAATGAACAAGAAGATTTGGGAGAAAGAAAGAGTTTCTGGGAACATGAGAAATGAAATTTAAGAACAATACAAAAAAATGAAAAAATGTTGTGTTGACAATTTTGTGTTATCTTAAGCATTTGGTCATCATGGCTGTCATGCCTATCAAACAAGAATGACAATGATTTATCATAATTATACATCAGAAGGCATTTGAAAACTTAGTGCGTAAACTCAAATGCTGATATTGTCAACACTGTGCAGAAAGGAATTTCACATTAAACAGAAGATACAATTCTGATCTCTAAATTTTAGTTCCATCAACAAGTTTACCAAAGTGTTTGAGATGAGTTAAATACCAAAACAAAAAGGTAGCTAAGTAGTTAAAATACTATTAAATAAAGATTTCATGGCAATTTTTAACATTTGTGTGCCTCTAACCACCCCCCCACCAAAAAACAAACAAAAAACAGCATTTCAAAAGGATAATTATTCAATTGACACCCTTAGCAATATTTAAAATTTTAATAAAATCCAAATATATGAAAGTGAATTTATACATTTTCTTTAACACATTGACCACAAAGATAAACATTTATTTACAAGACTGCTTATTTACAAGAATAATCTCATATTTACAAGATTATAAAAATATGTGAACAATATTGAAATAATTATTGTCTTCTTATGAATAAATAAAAATGAAAAGAAATTTTTTTTATTCATAAATTTATAAAAACATGTGAACAAGAAAATTTAAATAAACACAATAAGTAATTATAAATTAAAAAAATGCATTTTCCAGGCATTTAAAGTTGAGAGCTTCTCTTCCTCTTACATATTTTGGTAATTTTGTAATTTTTTATAAATTTTTGAATAAAAAGATTTCTTTTCAAAATTATTTCTTTATAAAATGGCAAATAATAAAAGTTTATATGAGGTAAATAATAAATATTACTTTCTGCTTGGTTCACATACTTTTAAGGATCTTGTAAACATTTCTGAAGGAGTCAAAAGTGTATACAGTAATAGCGGTGTCAAAGGAATAACTGTCCTTTTGGCACAGTTTTTTCCCCCATTTCACATAGCAATCAAAGAACTGCACAGAACAGTATAGGTTTAAAAACCAACCAGCTGTAGACAAGCAAGTTCAGAATCTTCAAAAAGTTGGATCTGTTTCACCCTAAGAAGTTGAATTGGTGACATTCTACTGCTTTTCAAAGCATGCATAAAGTAACCATTAAAAAAAAAAAAAAAAAAAAAAAAAATCTGGCTATTCTAGAAAGAGTGGGTAACCGGCATCAGGCAAGGAAATATCTGACATTTCCCAGAAACCTTTTTTCACAAAGTAAACAGTGCTACCCATAAGATAATTTTGAATATATTTTTTATGTAGTAGTTAAAAAGTCAGTGGCATACTCATTAAGTGTATTTTTATTTAGTATCTAACAGAAAGACTTTTCAGTGCTCCCTTGTACATTCATATAAAGTTGACAAAAAAAAAAATCCTACTGTCAATGTGAAGGACTTAAAGAGGGTTTCTAAAATGTTCTGATTTTGACATAAGGGTTATGAATTGCCAATATGAATGACATGAAAATGCTTTCAAACTTGCTGACACTGTTGTAAAGGTTATGAATTAACAATGTGAATGGTATGGACAGGCTTTGAAAACTTTGACATGAAGGTTATGAAATGATTGTAAGAATTGCATTATAAACAAATCCGATTCAAAACTTTGTCATATTAACATGTTCTCAGTACAAAACAAGAAATTTTGTAAAAAGTCAAGAAACAATTAATGTTACTGCCAAATCAGTTTCAAAGTGTTAAGCTATGTAATCTTGATACACTGAGATGGTCTGTCAAATAGATGGAAACTATATAAAGTTCTTCATTTTGTGTTTTATCAGACAGTTGCAAAGTTAAGAAAAAGGTTATAAAATTCTATTATTTTTTCCAGAGATATATTAAGTAGATACTTCTCTAAAGAAAACAACTTATTAAAAATGAGATATTGTGAACAACAATCAAATAAAAAAATAAAAAAATAGTTTCATTTTTTAATCTCCAGGTTTTTTTTTTTTCTAAAATATTTTGAATCATTTCCAATCTGCTTTAAATTTCCAGAAATCTCAATTTAAAAAAAAAAAAAAGTTTTAACCTCCTTAATTGATTCAGAAAGCTAGTCTCAAAACAAAGCAATAAATTTAGGCCTCTCAAAACACTATATAGCATAGGTTATCATGGGCAGGATGTATTAAAATACAACAAATTTTTTTATTTATTCCAATGTTTACGAGGGTGGTCTGAAACATTCATAGGCTGACTATGAAGGAGTGATGCTAGAGCTGTGAAATCTTGCATGCATTAATTTCAACTCTTCTTATTAATAACTGCATTGTTTCTTTCCAGGTAAATTGACATCTGAATGTTCAAAGAAGGCTTCAAACGTAACTAGTAGCAACTTCTCTTGAAAATGGACAAAATTTGGCATTATATAACATTGAGGAAAACATTGATTTCACCCCGTGATATATGACAGGCAACTGACTATAAATCAAATAGACAATGCTATTAGCATGCCCTGTTAGAGAGTTGAGAATATTCTGCATAACAAACTTGGCATGATAAGGATTTCCATTCGGTGGGAGCCAAGTCTTTTGACACCTGATATTTTTTGAGGCAGATCCAGCTGGATTCCGTGAACGTTTCCTAACTCAGGATGAGGTATGGGTTCATCACTCTGCTAGTGACAAAGAGACAACCCATGCAGTGAAAACATTCCTTCTCCCCTGCTCCAAAGTAGGTTAAGATCATTTTATATACAGGTAAGGTGATGGCCTCAGTTTTCTGGGATTCAAAAAGCATTGTGTTTATTGACTATCTTCAAAAGAGCCATACTATCAATAGAAAGTACTATGGCAACTTGCTGAGGCAGTTGAGAGAAAATGCCCAAGAAAACCGACAAAAGTGGTTGTGTTTCATCAGGACAATACTCCAGGAGACAAATCCTTGGTTTCAATGGCTGCTGTGCATAACTGTGTCTTTGAACTGGTTGATCACCCTCCCTATCCTCCTGATTTGATTATCATCTATCATCTGTTCTCCAACATGAAAAACTACTTGGCTGGGAACCAGTATTGCACTGAAGACATCATCTCAGCTGGTAATGACTTTTTAGACCAACAAGGTGAAATCTTCTTCACCAATGGGATTCAAGCACTGCAACGCCAATGGTGGACTGCAAGAGAGATTATGTTGAAAAATAAACCTTGTTTGGTCACATTTCATGAAAATATCTTGGTCAGCCTATGAAGTTTTCAGCTGACCCTTGTACTTATAGAACATATCATCTATAAATGTGCTACAAGAGTAGAAAAATGGATAGTTTGCTCTGTCTCGTCACAGAAGAATTTATAATAGTCCACTGATTTCATCAGAAAATTCTGCAGGTTTTGATCTAAACTTTGTTTGAACAAGTTTTGAGAGTTAATCTGAATTTTTTTCATTGAAAAATAAAAACACTGTCTGGAATCAATACAAGCATTACTGACAAAATAAGGCTATTGTGTGTATAAAGTATGTGCATAATTACTAAAAAAAAAAAAAAAAAAAAAAAAAAAAAAATGTAAATTTAGTTTTACAAAAGATGGAGAAAAATAATAATAAAAACAAAAAAACATTGGCAACACCTACCAAAATGAAAACCTTTTGCA